GTCCCCCAAATTCTTTCCAGTTTTCTGTTGAAATTATTTCTTTTAGCCTTTGACAAACCGATTTCAACTGCAAAAATTTGGCGGTCTTTTTCACAAAGGGGCGGATCGCTTTCGCCTCGTCATGACACTGTCATTAGGTATTGTGGCTTTTTTTCTCTCGGAGGAACGGACTTGTCGAGCTCGAACCCAGTCACGCCCTGGTGGTGTCATCGATGCCTGTCCTCGACTGCTTATCTGTCGCAGCTAACCACCGTATCTGGAGGTCGTTCCCCTATCCACAATCTGGGGACGCGCCCGACGGCCAGAAGCTAGGCACACTACATATCATGTGATATTTTTAATACGTGCCAACAGGCGATGTCGCCACAGTATGACTCGATGATAGCTAGAAAGACTGTATCAGGACCACAGCGAGAAGTGACAACAACGGGTGCATAGGTTTCAGTACGAAGGTATGGACGGTACTGTATCTGAATTATATCGATTTTTTCTTGCACCACAGCACGGTTACAAAGAATAATGACGGCCAATGCTCTTAATCAGGCTGGCGTTCCTGTGCCTGTAGATAGGTGGAAATTAAACAGTGATAAATGCATTTTACAACGCACAAGCGACACCTGCCATCGCATAGACGTAAAGAAGACAAACGACCTAAGACTGAGAAAAATTACATTAAGTCAGCGAAGTGTCTGCAACTGCTTCAACTCGAAATATTGATTGAGATTACATGATTACTATTTTCTAACTTGAAACCTCGTCTGACAATAATAAGTAATCGGAAGCGTACAGTACTACGAAAATTGGAGCACTGAAAACGCTGGTGAGTCGACAGTCGCTGGTATATCTGAAGGCCTACCATACTGAAAGAATAAATTCAAGTAATTATAGAGAATCCGTCTGCTGCATCAAATGCAATCTCATTATGTCGCTCTGTGAAGCACGTCAAGCAAAACGCATGGAGATAAGCGATGGATCGCATGACAGTATCAACGAAGGTCCTGAATAAAGGACTCTTTCTTCAGATTGAACGGTTCTGAGTGAGAAATGTTTATGGATGTTTTGCGAAGAGTTGTGCGTCTTCTTACTATACAAACGCCTTGAAATTCATAGCGAAAACAAATAACGTGGGTCATTCCAATTTCTCTGATCGTGCAAGCATTTTGAAGAGGAAATAAAGTTTAAAACTGCAGCTTATCCGGAAGCCATCCAGAATTTGTGTAACATTGCCTAGAAAAGAAATCCAGGCAAGAATGAGTTACATACTTGTCCAAGTGATGCAATTGCTGAAGAAATTGATCATCATAGCATACCTACCGGATATAATATATAACGAACCTCGATAATGAGAGTTTGCCAGAAAACCGCTAGTTTTCAAACAGTTACCAATAAATTTAAAAAATGCTGCTGCGCGCGCTTCCAGTCATATTTAACGAATTATTACAGTAGACTGTGCTGCTTGGGTGAGAGGTTAAAAGATAGCCTTAGACTGATGTAGATGATAGAGTTGTTCTATACTACAGTTGGATGTTATAGAGAAGGTTGCGGAATGAATGCATGAGCCTAGTGGCAAGATTTAGCTGTGAGCTGTCGTCATCTTATACGCGTCTGTCGGTGACACGGTCTTGCTACCGTTGAGGCACTTTCAATAGCACTAACACAGTTCGGAGCTGGGCAGTAGATGCAACGAGGACTGAGGACAGAGGACGGAGGAAAACTGCAAGAAGAGAACAAAATCCTACCTGCTTTGCAAACATCCAGGTAGAGATCGTTCGACGTGAGATACGGGAAGCGGAGCGTTAGAAGCTCTTCGGTAGTCCATTGTTTGGCAGTGATAATTCCGCAGAGAAGAATAAAAGCCAAACAGACGGAGCAGGAGATGCGGCAAGCGGCAGCAGTCATCGCGGCTAGCCCTGAGGAAGAGCGGCGGCGACGGCTGCGACTATGGTTTTATCGGTTCGTGAGCGAAGAATGACAACGGCGGAGGAAACGGGATAGAATTTAGCAAGGTGACAACTGGGCATCGACCGGCGGGCACAAGGCGAGCGCTAAAAAACAACAACGATAATCACTGGTTAATAGATAACTGACGATAGAGGCAGGCGACAGCATCAAGAAAACCAACGCGTACATACAACAGACGAAATGGAGGCGCGGTGAGGTCGGACTGAGGCTGAAGTCGGCTGTCATCTCGGAGTCATAAATCAAGAGCGAGGCTCATTTCCATCGCAGGAGTGGCGATGGTACGTCAAGGTTGGCAGCGTTTTTCATCTCGGTTCACTATACTGTCCGTCTGTCCGTCTGTCTGTCTGTCCGTTGGCACATGCTAAAATTCTTGCTCACCAACCAGTTTTCTTTTAACGCGTCGTCGTTGTTCTCAACCAAGTGATGGCACCGTGTCTCGTAGTGTGTATAGAGACAACATGATAAAGAAATCGTGATGACATCTGAACCTTGTCGTAACAAGAGTTGCCCTGGTCCTGTGCTGGCGATGAGAAACTTCGGACAGGCAAACGAACACGAAGGCTGTCAGATGGATGACCGACCGACCAGTCGGTCAGTCGGTGGCGTGCCACTGTCGCTGCCGCCACAGCAACGAT